GGAAGATACTCTGTCAGCATAGAAAGATTTGGTGGATGAGTGACTGCTCCCATGAAAAGAACAACATTAGGATGTCTCAACCTCAACATGATTTCAACCTGCACAAAGCAAACAAGCAGTCGTCTAGTTCAATTCTTAAAAAGAAAACCACTTGGATCATTAATAACAGCACATGATGCAAGATGTCAGATTTGGTACTTCGTATTTGAATTGAACAAGTGCATCGCCTGATATATCTTGGTCCATGAACTTCTTCACAGCAACTTCCTGTCATGGAATCGCATTTTACACCAGATAAACCGTTAGAGAGGAGTAAACTATAATTTCTGTAAGCAACTATTGACAAAAGGTTCGATCAAATTCACTAATGCATCTAAAATATAACTTGCAGTGCCATTCCAATCTGCACGATAAACTTCACCATATGAACCTGCAAGGTAGGAAATTGCAGCAATTCAATATTCAAGCAAATTTCAAACTCTCCCATTGCATAGATTCTCTTATATTCTGGAAAATAAAAAGAAACCAATACATAGATCTAAGTCTAACTACATCCAAAAGATTAGTTCCATCGTAGTTAACTTCCAACATCAATAATGATTGAAATCTATGTCCGGAGGATGCAAGTGACCAGTAGGATTAACTTGAATTCAATATGGATGCCTGAATTGAGCCAATGCAGCAATGCTAATAAAAATTAAAGACAATACCCATTTATCAATTTGGCTGCATCTTTTCTTCTAATTCCCAACCTCCTCCACGAAACCCCCCACCAAACACACACAGTAACCATAGGAGTTTGAATATTACGTGTACTTTTCTTTGGAAAATAAATGTCGGCTAATATGGAATGTGGTGTTATGAAATCCAGGAACTTTAAACAATATACATAAGAAAAACTTGAAACATGTACTGCAAGGATTCCCCAACTCAGACTACAGCACAAAAAAATATTAGGGCATACAGTGGATAAAAAGCATTTGTGTAATTCAGAAAATTTAGAGGTAACAGAGGTGTGCAAATCCATTGGGCCAAGCTACCCTTTCTAACAGTGGTGTCCAATTATACAATCAAACCAATAAGATGTTATAAAATCTTGTTCCCATGTTAAAGATTCTAAACCCTTTCACTATAAAGCAGGGAAAACACAATCCACATGTAAAACTCAAGATCCAGCACAAAGTAAACCTACAGTAAAATAAATATCAAAGTAGTATAAAAAAGGTGAGAAGCACAAGACAATAAGAGCCCTTTCTTAATCATATACTAACAAGCCAAGTGTTTAAGTTGGGAACAGATTTTAGTTCTTGGATGAGTGCACAAATTAATGTAACATCAATTCTTACCAATGCCAATGCATTCTCCAATTTGAAGATCCTCCCATGGAATTTCCCACTCCGCAACTTCACAAAGCACTGGGTTAATCTTCTTATTCTGAATACTGCAAGCACTAGACAGGCTACTATTGGCGATTTCCATCAATCTCACAGCCTCAACATTATCAAGTAGGTTTCTTACTTTATCTTTAACAAACCATCCACCATCACAAATGAGGGCCCTTTTAGGTTGTCCTTCGTAATTGCCGGTTGCAGAAGGCACAGAAGCATCATCATCAGTACGGTTAATTGCGTGAGTTCCACAATTAACAAGCAAAACAGATCCTTCACTTGTAGCATCAAAAAGTAAGGGATGTGTCGTATTAATGACTGTAGAACCCAACTCCAGTCGTTCTGCCGTCAAATCCTCAACAGAGTGCTTTTGTTTGCTGTCATAATGAGCACCATTACAGGACTCCACTCCAGTTGAGGGTATAATTAGCAGTTTATTGTTTGACAAGAACATATATGGATAATCTTGAGCCCCATCACCCACTTTTTCCCTATTTAACAGACGTATTTTTTCATGCATTTCCACTTCTCTAAGATCACGAGGATTCATATCCAGAAGAAAATCGGAAGGTTGTGATGCACCACTCTCCAACAAAACTGCATGAAGTTTCTGAGCAAATTGTGGGTTTTTTGCTACACTGATGACGTACTTGGAAACATCTTTAACTTACATCTTTTGTGCTTGTGACCCCTTCCCACTAGTGCCTGACGATTCTGCACGTGATCTACATAGTGCAGGAAGAAGCTTCCCAAACTCATTCTCAAACATCTGGGTTTGATTTTCTTTATTAAGATTCCCTTCACCACGTTTTGGCTGAATGCCTAAAGTAGATGCTTCTACTGAAGCTGAGCTGCCACCTTTGACTAGTCCACCAAGATCAGGTGAAACTGCCACCGTCCCAGTTCCTTCTTCAAGCATCGGACAGAAATTGTTGATAGTTTCAGCATAATCTGCACTGCTCCTCGTATCTAACCCAGAATTTTGAAGATGATCACTGGGAACCTCAGCAGGAATTAGCTCCGGAGCACCCATTAGATCAATAATGTATTCACTGCATCAAATCAATATTAGCCATATCATTACTAAGTGTTCTGAAAACATTTAAAGCCATAACAATTCTTTCTGTAAGACACTGAAAAACAAATTGAAGGAAAGATGAAAGAGCAAAAAACACACAGCATTCACCATGAAGATCAACTCCATTTCTAAATAAAAATCTAGCTACTAAAGAACAACATATATCTGACAATAAATGACTTGACTGCATACACGCTGCTCTGAAAGAATTATAACAGTCCCACAGAGGAAATTGTTGTCATTTGTAAATCTGTTTGAAAAATATCATATATATAGTGTAGCAGCTGCCAATAAGGCTATAATGACTTCAGATTCGCAATTCAAATATAATTCATGCTATGGAAGAGCTTTCACAGCTCACAGAATAAATCTTTATCATTTGCAAATCTGCGAGTGACTATCATTTGAAAATAATGAACTTGTTAGCGGCAGCTAATGCTGAATCCTACAACTTGTAGAGAAAATTTGTGCGTGTATATGATTTTCCAAATACTAGCAGTATCTGATGGTAATAGTCATTTTTGTTTCCATTTTTTCAATACAAAAACAATTTGAGAGTCATGAATATGAATTAATCACTTGATATATCTATCCAATGCAACAAGTGGTGTATGAATCCAGCCAGCAACCTTAAAAAACAATTTAGTTTTCTTTATCCATGCTATCTCTAATTTCTAGTATTAAAAAATTAAAAATTTTAAAAATAAATTAAAAAAATAGGAGGAATAAACATGATGGTACTAGGATTCTAGGGCATTTAACATTAAATAAACCAAGGCTAACTCATTTGTTGCTTAGAGTCAACATAAGAGTAAAAGAGCAGATAACTAACATAGGTGCACATACATGTTGCTAGTTTAAGAGAATGAAACAAGAAATCAGTACTTTGATTTTGTTAGATGCTCAAATCCATCCAGTTGATTGAGAAGCTCCAGCATCGTCCCCTGCACTTCACTATCACCATTACCAGATCCAGATTCCATTCAAGCAGATCCAATGCTGTCGATTTCATCCATAAAGATGATTGATGGAGCATGCTCCCTGTGCAACAAAAACAAAAATAAATCACACATAAAACATGTAAGAGGAACTATATAACACTTCTGTAGACTAAAAAGATTTATTAACCCGATATACAAGATATTATAATTTTTTTGCAATAACAATGTTATCAATGAAGTCGAACAAACCTGGCCATAACAAAAAGTTATCTAACCATTCGAGAGCCCTCACCAATATACTTCTGAACCAACTCAGAACCAGAAACCCTTATAAAGGTACAATCAGTATGAGATCTAGAGAGAGAGAGAGAGAGAGACGGTGGAGCACACTACCTTGCCGGTGCAGATGACGGTGGCGACGGAGCTTCGAAATCGCTCTGAATCCCGAAATCGATCTGAATCTTCGAAATCGCTCGAAACAGCTGATTGATATTGATCTGAATCTTCGAAATCGCTTCGAAATCGCTCTGAACAGCCAATGGAGCTCGTGTTCTTTGAAGCTCTCTTCAAGAACAGCCGATTGATCTTTCGAGAGACGAAGCTTCTTCCTAGAGTTATCTCCTCCGTCTTCTTCGTCGCTGAGAGAGAGAGAGAGAGAGAGACAGAGAGAGAGAGATGTCTGCGTACAAGGTAAGAGAGATGCGTGCGTACAAGAGAGTGGGCTCAGATTTAAAAATAAGGGCTTCAAAAAAAGGGCGCATGTATCCACCGCCTTTGGAGGCTCTTTTAAACGCCTTTAATTAGAAAACGGTGCCGTTTTGGTTAAAACAATATGTAGCGGTTAAAAAACACCGTTAAAAATTAGAAAACGTGACGTTTAATAAAACGTCGTTAATTAAACGCCGTTAAATCCTTGATTTCCTGTAGTGTGTATAATATTGTAGCATGACCCTAATGTCATCTAGGCTATTTTTCTAGTGGAGAAAAAATTTTACTTGATCTATATACAAAATTTTTTATCATTGTGACACCAACATATTGTACATTTGCATTGCATTTTCATACATGTAGGCATTCAACGAATTATGTGAGATAGTTCATTGACATACCATTAATCACAAATAGTCATCCATCAAATAGTCTGAAATTGAAATATATTACAGGATTAGAAGTCTAGTGGATGATTTTGCCTAAGATTGTGTTTGCATCATAAATTTGGGTAAAGATTTAGAAAGGGAAGGAAAAAAGTAAGTGAAATGTAATTATATTTCATTCATATTTTACCTATCTTTTACATTTAAAAAAAAAAATCTCTATCCAAATTCATGAACTAAATACAGCGTAAAGTTGTTCATCTTATATTTGCACAAAAACATGCATGATAATCAAATACAGAAAACCTTATTGTCATTTAGATACTACTCTATGAATAAACTTAGCATTTTGGGATTAAAGTTATTTATTTATTTATTTCAACCATGGGAATAGGAGTGGAAATGGTTAAAAAAGGATTCCCACACTGGGTGTGAAGGCACAACCACTGTCATTTGGGTTTGTATAACATATTGTTTAAGCAAATGAAGAGAACCAGGCAGCCACGCAATGAGCACAAAGCAAACTATTATTTCACCTTTTACTAGAGAATACCGTGTGCTCGTTGCAAATAGTGGCATAAACCTATTTTTGGAGGGGTTCTTCCCAATTGGGATGGTCCCTATTAAAGCATATATAATAATTTTTTTTTTTTTAGAATTTGGGTGTTTAGGTAAAACCCAAATTGATGCAATATATACTTTTGAGGTATAATAATTTTTGTATTTGTAAACATTGGTTGTGTAACTTTTTTCCTCTTTATAAAAATTTCTGATTACATCACTTACAAAAATTTAAAATTTAAAATTTTAATTTTATGTTCTTACACCCCATCATAAAACCAAACATACCCTCATCATACTTTCTCATCTTTCAAAGCCAAACTCCATCCCACCCGTAAAAACCACCTCTGGCTACTACAACTACCAACTCATCTCCGACCACCAACCCCCAACCCTTCCCCAACACGACCTGTCCCTTTCCCAGCTCCCCCACCACTGTGACCCCATCCATAAGAGACTTTGTTTGTTCGAATAGACACTGTTGAATTTCCCAAGTTTTTCAAGTGGAGATATTAAATGTTCATTTTTTTTTTGATGAGCAAAGAAACGGGACCTTATTGATGAACAAAGATTGAATTACAAACATAAAGAAGAAGAGGAAGGGGAAGAGGAGTGCAAGGAGCATCATAGCGAAACAGAACAATCCAAACTAGGTTGGCACTGATAAGATCGCCCAATCATATGCTAGCACACCGCTCGGAGTTAGTGAGTAACCAACCACAAACTGCTAACCAAACCCAAACACAGCCAATAGAACTAGAGACAACTCAAAACCAGCAGATACAAACAAAAGCAACATCAACACAAGCAGGAACATTTAGCAGTAGAAAAAGAAGAAAGAACGAGGCAGCAACTGCATCAGTAGTAGTCTCCACTGGTTCACTACCCTCAAAGCCCATACCAGCACTACAAAACCTCCCAGAAGCTCTTTTGAATCTTATGAGCAACTTCTCATCTTAGCCCAGAATCAACCATAGTCAACCATAGCAGCAGCGTTGTTCACATACAAAACAGAACACAACCAGGGGAAAATAATTCCATGATGCTATCAGTAGTAGTCCCCAATAGCCCCAAGCATCTCAGAATCAAACAACACCCCCAAGCAGCCCAGACTCAACCACAAACAACTGAAAACAACCAGAGTACATACTCTTTTTCACCTTTCTGACCCGGGGTAGACAAATTCACCAGGCAACAAAACAGTAGCCTTTGGCTTTTTGTTATTAGATTCCTTATCAGCCTTCACATTTGTTTCCGGCCCTAAGTTGACTTGCTCTTGGCTACATTGATTTTGCTATTTCTTTTAAAATTTTGCCACTGATGAACCCATATCAGTTACCAGAAAATTTATCAACCCTTCTTCATCTGGATCACTCCCTTTAATATCAGGAAGCTAGGACAACAACACAATTCTTTAGTAGCAGCAAAAACAGAAGGCCAGAACAATAGCATAACAACAGTTAATACACCAGAAGGCCAAGACAACAACAAAACACCCCTCACTAATCTTCCTCAAGGTTCACCTCGAGAGCCACCTCCTAAGCAAAATCTAATTTGACCCAGATTGGAAATAAAATCATTCACAGTGAACAGATGGACCTTAAACACTTCCTTGAACCAAATCGCCAATCTAAACTTAATAAAATCACTTACACCAACCTGATTAGGGACAACCTCCCTAAACAAACACTCATTACGAAGATTACACAAAGACCACATTACAACTAAAGGAATAGCTTTCTATACCATCCTCTCTTTTTTGCTAAGCCTCACCCCTGCCTACCACTCAAGAGTAGCCTCCACTGTGTCTGGTAGTGCACCTTGAACACCCCACCATCTGAGCATTGCTGACCATATTCTCCAAGCAAATGTACATGACAATAACACATGGTTGAGTGACTCATCCACAGATTCGCACAGACAGCATACTGAAGATGCATTAGCATTCATAACACCAATCCTGATAAGAAAATCTACAGTCTTTAACCTACCTTTTCATGCAAGCCAACCAAAGTATTGAACTCTATGGAGAATGTGCTTGACCCAAATCCTTTTGCTAATAGGACTAAGGTTGCCAAATCCACCTGCCAAAAATTTATATACTGATCCCAATGTAAATCTCCCAGTTGTAGAAGCATTCCAGAGGAGTGTATTTTCTGATGATTGCCTAATAACATGACAAGCCTCTAATTGGCTTACCAATTTGGTGGCCTCCACTCCTTTCCCAATCATATAACTCCTTTCTAAATTAGAACATCCACTCACCAGTTTCCTCCTTTCTGTCCACCATAGCAGATAGAGACTCCTTCTTATTTATTACCAATCTATACAATAGTGAGAATTCATCTTTGAGACATAAGTTAACACACCATTTATCAACCCAGAACTTGACTCTATGGCCATTACCCACTTTCACCTTACAATTATCCAAAAAAACCTCTATCAGGCTGCTACTTTGTTTAGGGCCTAATACTATATCCTTCCAAAGTTTAGAGCACCTGCTATTAAGGCTAATTAAAGGCCTCCAATTCCCCTCCTCAATCCTATACTTGCTACAAATAACTCTTCTGCACAATGCTTTGCTCTCAACACCAAACCTCCACCACCATTTCAATAAAAGGCAATCATTGGCCTCTTTGGCTCTCTTGAACCCCAAGCCCCCTTGTGCAACTGGTTTGGATACTTCTTTCCATTTTACTAGGTGAACCTTTTTTTTCTCAAATCGGATCCTCCCTAGAGAAATGAGGCTTGAATCTTGTCCAACTCTCTACCAACCCCCTGTGGCAGTTTATACAAAGATAGATAGTAAGTTGGCAAAGAAGAAAGGACAAATTTAATTAAAGTAAGTCTCCTTGCGAATGAGAGTAATTTCCTTTTCCAACCTGCCAGTTTGCTTCTAGCTTTGTCCAAGACAGGTTGCCAAGATGCTTTTCTGCTAGGGGTTAATACCCAATGGTAGTCCTAGGTATTGAAATGGAATACTTTCACCTTGCAGTTTAACACTGACGCAATCTCATTCATAACTTCAACCGAAACACTTACTCCACTAACTACACTTTTGTGGTAGTTGATCTTCAGACTGGACAAGGGCTCAAAACACCTCAGAATCCTCTTCAAGTTATGAACTTCCAAAACATCAGCTTGTAGACGTCCCCGAACGCCCTAGGAGGAATGAGTCCCGTTCCGTTCGATATTGGGCTCACTACAGTTCGGACTCTCAAATTGTCACGGTTCTAAATCTGAACCAAAGAGTCCAAATCCGGCAAATCGTTTTGAGAAAACAGATTTTGAAAGAAGTGCCAAACATGGACTGCTTTGCCAGATACAGAGTCGCCACCTAAATATTTTATTAAGGGGGGATTTAGGAAACCCTGACTCGGTGCCAAAGGCCACGTGTCCGTCATCACCGGAGTTGTCTCGGCTCGGGAGCTAGGGTACGATTGGGGAAGGTCAGCTATGAGCACCCCCGGAACTTGGGTACGATTGGGGAAGGTCACTTCGTGAGCACCCCCGCTCGCCCGATCAAAGATCGGCCTCTACTAACCATGATATCAAGTTTTGAAAACATTGTGTGTTCTTATTCCGATTTTTTAGCCTAGGTTTACTATGTGATGCGCACAGCATACAAGTATAGACCGGGTCGCCTAAATTGGAACAAAACATTTCGTGTTTATTTCTGAAAGATGGTTTGATGGTGCTACTCGCAAGTAGGCTAAGAGGTGGATTTGCCACCCTCGGGTGAGCTTAGAAAAGATGGTTTTGCCACTATCTAGTGGGCTTAAAACTCACAGTCAATGATTTGTTCCAATCCAAATAACCCAAACTTCACCCACAGGCATTCAGGCAATCATATCACATAAGCAAATAGCCTCATGGTAAACATGCTATCATGGGAGTCACTCACACACATGTAAGGATGCTAAAGCATAAACTCACCGAGTACTCCAAGCCAAAACAGAAGCTAATTAGAAATCCATGCATGATCCTAAATATGCTGAAATGCCTAATGCAACACATGCAAGAATGCAAGTATAGCAGGCTCGGCTATTCTAAACATGGTATATGAGGTGCAACAACTAACAAGTATTCAATCTTGGAATTGAAATACAAATGCAGTTAGTATGATGCGCTGAGCCCGGTGCATGCAAAACAGATGAATGAATGCAACATGCTATCATACTGTATGCTAATTGAAACATGCCCTAATCTAACCATCATAAGCTGGTAAATAAAAGGGAAGAAAGACGTAGGGTTGGAAGACATACATCACACTCACGCACACTTATTACAACATTGCCCTCGCGCAGAGGGTCCGAATAAATATACAGTCCCGAATAAAAGAATAGTACAGTCCAAATAAATATTACAGTCCAAATATGTACAAATTCCTAATTAATTAACAAATTAACTAAGAAAATAAATAAACTGGCATGCAAGCCAGGGACTGCCTTGATTCCATTCCGGATGATGAATGATGCATGCCCGGGTTGCCTTTGCGCGGAAATCCATGACGATGCCCCAATTAGCCTCCGGAGTTTGTTTTGTTTGGTTGCTCCAATTGGTCATGTTTCTCTTATTTTTTCAGTGGGAAATCTCAGATTCGAAAAATCAAGCTCTTAACTTTTCTTTTCAATTAGGTGCTTCAATATGTGATCTATTTGGGTTGTTTATTGGGTAAATGGTTATGGATAGTCCGGAGTGTCGGTGACTGGGAATTGAGACACGTTCCGTCACTCGAAGTACGAAACGCCCCTCGTTTCCCGTGCTCAGGCTACCTTCTATCCCCAACACGATGCAATATGCATGACATGCATGAAATGAAACTAAGATACAACCTATCATGCACAATGTTAGGAAATGGCATACACGATGCACGAGATAACATGGCATACACAATGCGCTAACATACGGCCTAGCATACACAATGTTATGAAATGAAATGGCATACACAATGCAATATGGGCTTACACCAACATGAGTGGACCTCAACCACACTCATATCAGTAGCCATTAGATGAAAATGAGACACTCGAGATGCGTGCACACGTGCACGAAAA